TGGACTCCCTGCTGGCCGCTAGTCCTTATCTCTTTTTGCTTCTCAGGCGTTTCTCCCCTAAATCTCTTGCACATTAAACTCTGTATTGCTATCTGTTTCTCAGAATACCCGGACTGACATGGTCAGTGAGCAGACATGTGTCACTTCTCGCCTATCCTGTACAGTTTCAGTGCCCACACGAATCCAGCTCCAAATGTGGGTTATGGTGGGACCACCACATGCACACTGCACCATCCTTTCTGTTTTTATGGGGCTGGGCTGAGCTCACCAGCCAGGTTGGACCAGTTATTGAGCTCATCTTCCTGGCCAAGTGTCCCAAGTAGGCACGTGACTAGAATAATCCAGTCAGAGTTCTCCCTGGGGTATAGCATACTCAGCCATGAAGAAAGCGTCATCTCCTTCCGGCTAGAGATGAGCTGAGAACTTCTGAAACCATAAGCCTGACCACAGCCAAGGGGCTGAGAAAGGAGGTGAAAATGGTCAGAGATGATGGACAAAGGAAGCTGAGGGCTCAGGGACCCAAGCCTAGGCTCAGATCCTTCCAGACCCCTGAAGGTTTTCTTTTTTCTTAAGGCTAAATTCTTCAACTGTGTATCTTTGCCTTTTAATTTTTTAAAACTTAAATTGTTTGAATTAAGTTTCTGTTGCTTGCACACGAAATGAGTTCCAGTAATACAGTGTTTCTAATAGACGGATTCCATAAAGTAGTTTACAAACTGAGATGTACTCAACCTCACAGGTGGCATGGAACACAGACTAGTGTGAAATAGCACCAGGTGTCGGGCACAGAACGGGCTGCCCATCAAGTTTCTTGCTGAAGGTGTCAAAACGTAAGAATGGGAGGCAACTCAGGTGCAGGAATAAGGGCATCGTTTTCCAAAAGGCGTAGTGGTGTCTGGCACGTTATAAGCACTCAGTAAACATTTTGTTGACCCAAACTAAGACTAGGAAAATACAAGCTTGAACACAAGTTTGTTTCACCAGATTATCTATGCTTCTCAATGATAGCCAGGGTGCCTGAGACCATGGGGAGCCTTGGAGAAGCTGAGGAGTGATGGGAAGTGAGGGGAGGGGCTGGGGCGTTCGGAGTGAGGAAGAAGGCAGAGAAGAACCCTCCTTTGGGGGTGCACGGCAGAGCCTCGGGTGCAGCTGGTGGCCCCTAGCTTTTTTATTGTCTCCACAAAAGGAGCCAGACCAAGACACGTGGTTCTTGGCCGGAGATTTAGCTCAGTGGTTTCGCTGCCTGCTGCGCAAGCGCAAGGACCTGAGTTCGATCCCCAGTACCAAAAAAACCCCCCAAAACCAAAAAGACACGTGGTTCTCCTGGAAGACCCATCGTTTGGCTCCCCATCAAACCAATGCTCTTTAAATACCTTTTCAGTGTGTATCTAGTGGGAGTGAGCAGCACCAGTGAGGAACTGCTGCTGGTGGCTTCCCAGCCAGGGCCCTGCCTGGTTGAATAAGCAGAACTCATTTACCTGCGATCCGTAAGTCAGGAGCCCTGCAGTGAGTGGGGGTCAACTGCATTGCACTGCGACTTCGTGTTGGCGGATCTTCTAGGCAGTAAGTGTAGTGAGAAAGGAGGTCAGCCTGGCTGTGCTCATACTGGGGGGCGGGGGGCGACGGGAGCGGAGCCTGGAGGAAGCATCCTCAGGTCGCAGCTGGAAGATGGCTGAGGGCAGCCAGCGAGGGGAGAGGGGGAAGGGCTGTGCATTTCCATTGCTGTAGGTCCCATGTCCTTCAGCATCTTCCCCTTTTCCCACGAAGTAGCCAGAGCAAACCTCCTCTATTTCTTATCGAGGTATGAACAGATGCCACGCCATCCTTAGACTGAACCCTCAAGCACTTCATGGCTTCTAACTCCATAAAAAGTGTGAGTAAAATATTCATATGCTGAATATACTGCAGGAAGAACGAGAGGAGAGCCAAGTGGAAGGCGTTGTGTGGTGAGGAAGTGTCTTGGCGAACACGGAAGAGAAATGATCCAGAGAGCTCACCGTGGGTGCCAGTGGGGAGGGAGAGGCCCCGGGGCAGAGGGAGTGCTGCTGGTGAGAAGAGGTGAGGCGGGACCCTGAGCCGCCCAGCTTAGCTTTCCAGGTTCCGTCTCAGAACCCACAAGCTCATGCACCTCGAGAGCAAGTTTGTGAATCGCTTGTCAGAGAACGAAAACTCGGCAATTTGTTGAGAGAAATGAATGTTTTGCCACAGAGTCACGGGGACTGTCGAAGTGGAGAACATTTATAACAGCACTGCGCTGTTCTTCAGGGTCAAACGCCTGGTGGGCACCTATGTCTCTTGCTTTTCCTTTACCTGGAGTCTCCAGCCTGAGACTAAGGCCTCGCATCCTGGCCACGCCCCTGGCCTCAATGGCCACCTTCCCCTCAGAGAACACAGTCCCTCCTCCACCCTGGGTCCTGCCACGTCCCCACAGCCGCTTCCTCTTACCTTCCACCAACTGGCCATTGAAGGAAACCCAGAGCCTGACCTAACCCTGCCCTTTTTGTCTCCTGCCTCTTCACAAAGGAAACACTTCCTTCTTTTATAATAAATGTGATCAACAAACAGTCACAAAATGAGCTCTGATTAACAGTGTTTGCACACAAAACTGATACAGACATGAGCCTCCTTGGCTGTTCTCCAGATGAGCTCACTTTCTAACACAGGTAGACAGAGGTACCCAGAACAGGCAGAAAGTGGAGGAAATGTCGAGAATGCCAGGTAGTGCTAACTGGGGACATGAAGGACACAGTCACGGAGAGGTGGCCTGGAGTCTGACAGTCCTGAGTCTCCCGGTCAGCCCTAGGAGAGTGGAGGACACAACCCATGTCTAAGTTCCAGGATGGGCAGATGCAGAGTAGCCGTGAAATAAAGGCAAAAGAACTTAGATCAACAGGTTGTGGCTACAGAAACATGAACGACACCAGCACCACGCAGCGAGCGCTACCTTACTTTCTAACAGTCACTTTAGATTATATGTCCCCTCGTGACCTGCTCCCGTCTGCCCCACAGAGCAGGAAGCTGGTGCCTCTCTCCACTACCTGGAGCAGGGCGGGCCTGGCAGGTGTGCTGTGAGGTCTGTTCTGTGACAGTGTGTTTAGAAGCTGCAGGCGGAAACGCAGGAGTGACTTCGTCCAGTGAGCGCGTGGCTGTGCTGAGCAGTGTTTTCCTAGGATTCGGTTCCAGCCTCAGAAGGGCTGGGCCACATGCAGGACAAAGCTGCAGGGAGCAGGCTCACCGCTGCCCAGGTCTGCTGGTCCACGGATGTTGATGCAGTGACCTTGGCTTTGCGTTTATTTAGAGCCATGACCTGGACCAGGGCCAGACGGTCATGGTCATACAATCTCCTCTGGATGACTGCCCAGTGTAGACTGAGCAGGTCTGGGCCTTTCCTAAGGCGTTCACAAGGAAAGCAGCAGATTCCTGGGCTTTTTTTTGGTCTCCAACAGGTTCATGAAACCACTTTCGGGACTTGTGGGCTCTCACTTTGAAATGGGAAGGACTCTGTCTCTGAGTAATTTGCAGTTCTTTGACTAGATATTCAGGGTCTTTGCAGGCGATTCCCTCTGGTCAAGCGTGCCTCTATTTCAGTCAGAAAGACTCCTCACAGCTTTACGTTATGTTTCCCAACAGTAGATGGTGCGAACGCTGACTCGCAATACCTAATGAATGCATGGAGATTAAGTGATTGTGCAATGACAGGCCAATGCAGCTGTCTCCAGGTTTGCTTTCCTTTGCCTTCAAATCTTCCCCTTCTCTCCAAAGCCCCCAACCCTTGAGCCACTCAGTGTTCTGAGGTTGCACTCTGTCTCCCATGCTGCCTCTACTGCCAGTGAGAGGGGACTGTCTGCATTTTTGTTTGCTTTCATTAGAATGTTATTTGCTTTGTTGCTGCCAAAGAATTATGTTTCAGTCTGCCTGATTTTCTTGGTTTTGCCAGATGCCAGCTGATATTTCTCAATTAAAAATCAATGGCTCGTCCCTCTGCACCGCCTGATTTAAAATTAGCTCAGGGCTGGGATGTAGCTCAGTGGTGCCACCGCCTGCCTCCCAAGCACAAGGTCCTGAGTTTGGTCCCCGGTACCCCCCCAAAATTAAAAAATAAAATAAAATTAGCACCACAGATTTGGATTTGTTAAATTGGAGAGAGCTGGAAAGCAAAGCCAATCTTTCATAGTCAGTGACAATCCCAGGTGTCTGTGGGGCCATAAGCAAACTGGGGGAAAAGGCAGAGCACTTAGAAGTTCTTAACGTATTAGGAATTTCAGCAGTTGCGTCTGAGTTGGGTGAATAATTATATTTTGGAAGGGTCTGGAAATGGTCATTATGCTTATCAAAACAGTCTTAAATTGTGCAGTACTGAGGCGCTAATCCCTGGCCTCAGGGCTTCCTAGAAAGCTGGGCGCCCTGTCCCCGGCTGGTCTGTCCGTCCACGTGTCCGGCACAGGTGAGAGCACCTGGAGGAGAAGGCGCAGCAGCGAGGAGAGAGGAACAGCTCTACCGCAGCTTCTCACTTCCAGCCGAGACAGGACACTTGCGGTTTCCTCTCCCGTTTTCTTCCTCAGAACTAATCACCGGCTCCGCCCAAGCTCCCAGAAGACGATGCAGTTCCCAGGTGCGTAAAAGCCAGGGAGCAGCCGGATGTTGGTGAAGCTGGCAAAGCTGTCATCTCCCATCCTGGACTCCAGACGGCTGCTTCTCTCTCCTTCCCGCACAGAAATCTCTTCTCCTCTGGCTGCAGCCCAACTCCCGCACGTCTCATTCCTTCTCCCCCAGCAGGTCACCGTGCAGGGTGTCAGGAATGGGTCTTCATCGGGGTTGGCATTTTCCTCTCGAACAGAGATCGGTACACTGAAGAGGCACCATGTGCTGACGGAACGGGCCCAGAGCGCTGTGACAAACAAACGCCGCTGAGCCGGACGGAGGCGGGACGGGACGGGCTCGGAAGCCCAAGGAGCGGAGCAGGCACCCTGGCGGCTGGAGGAAGGAGGCTGGCCCTCCGCTGTGGCTCAGCTCAGCGCCCCCGGGGCCCGGCACTCTGTCCTCTCGGCGCTTCGCCTGCTTCCCTCCTCCCTGCTCGGGCCACTGCTGCGGTAAATACCGGGTCGCATGCGCTCTCCGGGCACTGTTCTCCGGAGCACGCGCAGACCCTGCCTGCTATTCCTGCGTCTAAACCAGCCGGTTCTGTCCTGAGCTCCTCTCTGAGTAGCACGGGCCAAATGCTGCCACTTTTAGCACACCATTAATATCCTCCTTCCTCACCCTATCGCCTGGCACCGTAATTTCACTAACTTCACGATCTATTTCTCACTTCCCAGTTAGCAGTTATTTTAACTTGATATTTTTGCACTGCACTCACAGATCACCATCTCCCTCCCGATATCAGTACCCTTGGGGACATATTAACTGACAGGTAAGCAAATGCTGCATATTGAATACTTTTTGTATGGTCCTGATTTTACACTGATCAGATGAGATTAGGTTATGTTGCAATAAGAAATTAACGAGTCTTAGTAGCTCGATGCACCAAACACTCTGCTCATGAACGATTCTATTAACTAACTGCTCGTTAAATATTGCACACATCACATAATCCAAGGCACGTGGGGTTACTGTTCCTGAATTTAGAGAAGGAAAAGCAAGTGTTTATCAAGTACCTAGTATATTCTAGAAATTGATGGATATTTACAAATATTAAAGCTGCTAAGTAACTCATACAAAATCACAGAGCCAGAGTTTGAGCAGTTTTTTTCCTGATTCTAAAAGCTCGTACTTTTTATATTTTCTTTCATTCTACATTTGCCATTTTGTAACATTTGATGCAGAAACATTCATTTTAAAGAAGTTCTAGAATTTTCCTGTGTTTACAAATCTTCTAGCAATCTTATTAAAATGCAGATTTTGATTTGTGCCAATATATCAGAGATTACCGATTTATACTATCAGATTGGTTATATCAGATGATTATAGTGCTGGGTTTTGGGGTCTTTTTTTAAGTATTAAGTTTTGAGAGCATTTTTGTAATAATGAAGGGCAAACTTGTTAAAGGCTGTGAAGATGTGAAGTTATTCAAAGCAATGTCTTTCTGACCATCTAGAGTTAACTTTAACTTCCATACTGAAGAAGCCATAATTTAAAGGCAGAGAGAGAAGTACATAGTTGATAGACTCATGAATGGATTCACGATTGTCACTGGCAGAGATTAAACACATAGTGGCTTTAAGGATTAAGCACACTTTACACTGAGCATAGGGAATTGATGAGCTTGCTTTTAGGTTTCCTTGGTGAGGGTATTCCACTTTTCCTTGAAGCTGAGAAACCAGAGGGTCCTCAACAGCAACATGTAGCACTTTTGATAGTGACTGGACTAAAACACACACCAGTGTAACTCACCTGTTCCTTTCAGCTTCATCTGAAATTGGAAATAGATGAAAGATGAAATTTACTGAAAAAATCCTTTTCAGAGTCTATAGTTCATAGATTTAAAGATAGAATGCAATCCATACCCAGTTGAAAAGACCTTTTAGCCTATGATGCTAAATTTCTCAATTACTCAGTCTTCTAGGATTTCCAGATGTGGGATTGCTCGGTCACAAAGACTGAACAACTACATTTACATAAATCGAAGGGGTGCCTTCCCTCACGTGTGAGCAGAAGGACCTGGATCAGCAGTAACAGACAGTGCTTTCCCAGGAAGCCTGAAGACCAATCGCATCCATAACACTGGGTTACTGAATGAGCTCTGGAAGACAGAAGGATGTAGAGAGATTAGTTAAAGAAAAAGCATGCCGTTCATAATGTACCATTGTAATTCAAAACTCTGTTCTGGCAGTTCTGTCCACCCTCATGGTCCTGAAGCCTGGACATTTCCTGGACATGCTAGGGAAGATCACTTCAGGGCATGATTGCATGGTGGAGTCCTGGACTGCTGGGCGATCCTTACGTGGGCACTGACTTTGGCTCTGTAAATCAGCAATCGATCTAGATCTATACATTTGCTCAGAATATCCTTTGCCAAGACCAATGTATCTCCTTTAATGCTTCAGTCATAATTCAGTTATACATTGAAAACAATGTTGTTGAAATAGGTTGCACTACACAAAATATTTTGTTATTGCAGGGGGTGACTGCTTGGGAAGGAATGGCCAATACTGCTAGGAGTCAGCACCGACACATTCTTCCTTTGAGAACAGTGTCCTGTAGGGAATATTCAAAACATTTGCTAAGGTAGGATATAAAACTCACTATTTTCAAGGGCGAACCAAGCCATGCCACTTGGAAATTACCATAGTCTTAAATGGCTTGAAATCTAAATGTGATTTTTTCTCTAGGGAAGAAAATGATCTGGCATAGGACATGATCCATGATCAGACTGAGAGTTGTGGGCTAGACACTCAGCCTGGGTGCTGCCCCTCACTGAGGCGCTTGTGAGACCGTGGCCAGGTGGAAGCTGAGCAACACAATAGCTAACTAGCAAAACATTTAGCAATGCCCTTCTGCATGCAGCTCAGCTTTTGTTTCATTTTGTCTTAAGAAAGCTGTTTCTGAAGCTGAGGTAGACGAAATATCTGCAGTTGTCTTAAGGAATCGTCATTCATGGTTTATATTTAACTAAGGCATGTTGAAGTAGTTTTCTGCAAAACTATTGTATTTTTCCGAAAACAAACTGAACTACTTCACTTGCCAAAAGCTTCCTTAGGATTTGGTATATCCACTTTACTATCTTTTTCAGGGGAAGCTGTATAGAAGCTGCCATTTGTGATACTGAAGATATACCTGTACATTACATTTGTTCATTACTCACTCATTCACTTATTTGACAAAAATTAATATCAACTCCTGCTTAATACCGATGGGAACAAAAGAAACAATAAGACACATTTCCAGTTTGCTAGAGGTTGCAGTCTACTGACAGCTCAATCCATGATCCTGTACCCTAAAATGCATAGAAGATGAGCTTACCAACATATTCCAGATGCCATGAACATTTTGGCCTGTCAAGCATGCTAATCATAAGGAGTACAATCACCAAGGAACCCAGGGCCACCGGCCTGGCCTGTGCTTGGGATTTCCACACGCTAAGAAAGGAAAGTTGTGTATCTTTTGTTTTGGTCAAAATTTTTAAGAATTAACAATGAAATAAATATGTCACTCCAAGAAAAAAGTGAGTATTTATTACCAGTGATACAATTCAGGCTTCAAAGTAGAGATTAGAATTTTGGAAAATTGGTATCTGCCATCATGAGCTTGACAACTTCCGAATTTCTAAAGACTTCTCTAGTGAGATCGGTGGTGATAGTAGAAATTTTGATATTCTATGAGCTACGTCCACATTTAGGAGATCTGATAACCCAGTAAACTGCTATTTCTAAATGGGTTGTGTAATATGCTTCAAAATCATTCATAGGTCAAAGATCCATTTAAAGTGTGAGGTAGCCCAGTAGATTTAATGCAACAGAAGGCAAAATGTTATTTGGTTTGATTTCAGATTCCAGATTGCAACTAACCTTTAGGGTGCTACCACGTGCAGACTTTTGTATAGTAACAAACGATTTTCACAGTTAATTAGAACAGCTATTAAATGCCTATTTCCTTTCCCAAGGACATAATCTATGTAAGCCCGAATAGTCTTCACATAGCTGAGCCGACATATAACAACTTTTCAATGCAGAAACAGGTGTGAGAATACAGCTGTCTCCATGACGTCAGACACTAAAGCAAATTGCAAAGATGAAAAATAATGCCAGCCTTCTTATTAAATGCTTCGTTTATAAAATACTGCTATTTTAACAAAATATTCTATGTATCATTATCAGGTTACTTTTAGATTAATAAATATTTAAAAATTCCTAATTAAGTATCTAATGTAGTAAGCATTAATGGATAAAACTTACAAGCATGAAAGCTCTCTGGGGTACCCAATTGTTTTAAAGATTGTAAGGATGCTTCAGGACAAAATGTTGCTGACATGAGCAATAAATGGGCAGAAGCTACAGAGTTTGGATTAAGGTGAGGAAGCACTGTGTGAAAACTTCAGCTCACAGCTCACCAGCACTCAGAAAAATGAACTTTAAAAGACCAGTTTTGCATTGGCAAAACTTTAAAAACCGGATAGTGTCAAGGTAGATGAGGGTCATTGAGAACAAGGTCTCCAATTTACTGTGAGTTGGAGCTTCAGTGTGATCACTGGTAGCAGCACATCGGTACTCTCTTGTTGAACTGGAAATGCATTCGCATCCTAGCGTTTCTACCTCCTATTACATGCCCTGGAGTCTCCTACTGTGTGCTCCAGGGTGAGTGCGTTGCTTCCTGAGGCTTGTTTGGTGGTAATTTCACACACAAGGGCTCTGGCCAGCCATGTACCCTGGGATTTCTTTTTAAGCAAATCGTCTTTTCAACCCTTCAGACCATAGATCTGCACATTTCTGATTAAAAGACTGCAATGCTTATGTACGCTATCATTTTTTTTAATCTTGTGAGACTCCTTTTAAAATGCTACTTTGAACACAATTCAAAATAGACAAAAGTAAAGAATCAACTTAAACATGATACTTGTTGAACATTACAAGCTGCCTTTTAGCTACAATTTATACATTTTTACTCCATTCTGTGTGTGTAACTGATCATTCTAACTTTCACAGTGCTGATGAAAATATCCAAATGGCTCCTCTGTAGCGAGGCTGGATGGAGGTCAGCATTTTCAGCTCTGCTGCAGTGAAGATTCTGTTAGACAAAAATCTTCCTCCACTCAACATCAGACAGCAACCTGTAATGCACTTGATTATCGTAGAGCTCTGAAGAAATGCATGGCCCTTGTGACTGTCCCCCCTCCCCAGGCTGCCACGGGATCGAAGCTGCACAAAGCCCCTTAGTTCCGGGAGGCCCAGCTGGGAAGCATTAATGTCCCCTCGACACTCTGGAACCTGCTGGTAAAGACGAGCGTGCTGTCTGGGCCACTGCATCCTCTTCTGATAATTCCACTTCTCAAAATTTCTTTACTGTATGACATACAGCAGACATCCACATGTCCACCATTTAGAGCTACAACTTTGACCTCTTGCCTTGTTTTTCATTTTTATAAAAGAAATTAAATATCACGGATAAGATGGAAGCCCTTCCTCACCGGTTAGACCATCTGCTTCCCCTAAGGAGCTTAGTACGATTGCTTCAAAGCTATTCTTACACTCCTTTATATTTAATTTGAATCAGACAGATATGCTGACATTTGACTGTTTTTTGGACTAAAGAATGAGATTTCATTTGGTCCAACTGGAGCATATACATTTCCTGAACTGCCTTTCAAGTTTTATGTGAATGGTATTATGCCATACACCCCACTCGGCAATTCTGTTTTCACCCAGTATTGCACTCTTATGGTCCCTGTACATTTAGAGAGCTGGTGCATCTATTCTCACAGTGTGGCCATGTGGGATCTCATTATATGAAAGTGCCACGTTGCATTGATTCATTACCCAGAGTTTGTTTTCCTATTGCAACAAAAGGCTAACAGTGGAAAGTCATGTTTTGACACTACGGGAAATAGAAAAGGAGTAGCCAGAGTCCTTGCAGTGACTCAGTCTCTGTCCACACTTGTCAGTCCCTCCTTGGCTTACCAGGAAAAAGGCTCATGGAGTCATGCACAGCGACTGGAACGTCTGTCAGGACTGACAACGCTCCACGCCCATGGCGTGTTTGTACGCTTAGTAAGCACAGAGGGACGTTGCCTGCTGGCCTCTCAAGACAGGGCTCAGTGAGTCACTGCTCACCACACCATGGTCCAAAAAAGTGTAAGTCAATGGAGAATGCTTAGTGGCTTAGTGGTAACTTGGAAGTTGGGAAATCATTACTTACACATCTACTTTTACTTATTCTACATTTACTAATTTAATTTATTTTAATTATATTTACATACAGTATAATTATTGTACATTTTCAATTTTCTTGATATTTGCAAATAACAATTTTGATTACATTGTTTTTCTCTATATTTTATATTCTGTATTTTATTTATCTATAGCTAATCTTTATTATTTCTTTCTTTCTGCTGGCTTTGGATATGATTTGTTCTCTTTCTAGTTCTTCAAGGTATCAAGTTATGGAACTAAGATCTTTTTTTCTTTTTTAAAGTAAGCACTTACAACCATAAATTTCCTTCTCAGTGTGGCTTCAAGATTTTTCTGCATGGATATCTAAGTGTTCCCACACGAATTACTGAAAAGCTTGTGGTCTTCTATCGTGTACGTTGTCTTTGTCACAGATTAGTTGACACCTGCTCTCGGGTCTGTGTCTGGGCTCTGCCTTCCGCGCCATCCGTCCGCGTGCCTGTCTTGGTTCTGTGCTGCTATCTTGTCAGTTCCCACACTTTCAAACTTACTACTCCGGGCTGGGGTGCAGCTCAGCGACAGAGTGTGTACCCAGCATGTGCAAAGCCCTGGATTTGCTTCCCAGCACTGGAAGAAAAAGACTGTAACCACAGATGCTTGCAAATAATAAAATCTTCAGACTGTATGCGTAACTTTATATAAATTCTCCTTAAAATTGCTATAAAAATGTTGCCTAAAATTTGTCTCAAGAAAGAATGAAAATCTGAATTTCCATAGAAAGATTCATGCACCTAAGCCAGTAATCAGAACTCTTCCTACAGAGGAAGTTCAAAGCCCAGCGGGACCCTCATGGTTTGGAATAAGTGAATTGTACGCCTCCCATGGCTTCCCCCTGGGACTTTTCCTATTTACTCTTCTGTGGGTACAAAAGGCCCCAGCTAGGACTGTCAGAATAGAAATTGTACTACTGATAATGCAGAGCTGAGACTTGTAATGAAAAAAACCACATAATCTAGCCTCAGCTGGGAAAAGGGAGGATGATATGGGGATCTGAACAGGGAAACAAGTTAGGGTTGAAATATATCTCTATTTTCTCCACTTTAAGTTTGCTGAGGTGGCCTGCATTTCTCTTCTTGCATCTGAATGCAAGTATAACCTCTGAGTGAAGTGTGGCCTCACGAATGGCTTTGCATTTATTTATACCACTGTTTCCGGTGGAGTGAACCGCTATTTTAATCTACCTTCATGGCTTCCAGAACCTTCACTGTGTTCTGCAGTGGAAGATCAGTAGTTGGGGCAGTGCCTGTCTTCCACTAACACTGCGCCATGGCCTACACGTCGGGCGACTCCAGGACAACTTGCTGTTTCTTCCTTCTGCTGTTTCGGACAACCGAGCTTGGGACTGGCGTTCCTTCTTTGGGCTTCCTTAAAAGCGGCAAGCGTGGACTAATGACTGCATTCTGTTCACTCTGCCTGCCTCATTGATATCTTCTAAGCTCCAGAGTTGTCCATTTTAATTGCTGGTAATGTTTTTTTCTCTATTATTTTCCCAGGCACTTAGGGTCTGGGGAGAGAGTCTGGATAGCTCCTGACAGAGCCACCCTGTCTCTTACCCCTCTGACCTCCCCTTAGGAGCCACTCCCGAGATGCCACAGGACTGGCCTCTTTGGGATGCTGCTCCCCATACCCAGGGCCAAGTACTGAAGTGACAGAAGAGATTTTGCTGCAGACACGACTGGCTGTTAATGCCAAGGGTTTGTTCTTCCTTCGTCTGAAGCAGCACTACTGCTTTTCAGGGACACAGAGGCCACTCCCTGCTCCGGGCGGGCAGGCAGGAGTTCCTGGGACCCCACCCCACCCCAACCGCCAGTGAGTGATTCGGGTGCCCAGAGTGGACAGCCCCTTGATGATGGCATGGGTTCAGGGACAAGTACGTCTTTCAAATGAGTGAATCGGGGTTGGTTTGCTGTCTCTAGAATAGTTATTTATTCTTCAGAAATTGTGTGTAAAAAATTATGCAAGTCTAGGAGGTCTGACAACATCATTCTTAGGCTGATGAAAAAACATGTGGTGGATAAATTAAAATAAATTAAATAAACAAATTACATATATATTTAAAAAGGACTTTGGGCCCAGCAGTACTGCCAGCCTGACCCTGCGTTCCCCAGCTGTGTGGCCAGTCAGGCTTGTGTCACAGAAAGGGTCACGACTGATACACTCTCCCCACTTGCCTCAAGTACAGCTAAGGCTCAAGGTCCCAACGGGGCCTTGCTAGGAGTTCAGGAACAACAGCAGAGAAATAAAACGGGAAACACCTGTCAGACAGACCTGCTCATCCGACAGCGCGCTCCCACCTGGCCTACAGTGAGCTGGCCTTGTCAGCAGAGAGGACGGCTGTACCCCCGCACCGCACTGCCCCACGGGCCTTCCGGGAGCCACCCCTGCAGGGTCCCTGTGGGCTCGCTGCTGCCATCCGCCTCTGCCCAGAGCCTCTGCGGCTCGATGGCCCTTGGCCACGTGAACTCTCCTGGTCATTGCCAGGCTCTGGCCTCAGCTCATGCTGTTCCTCAGCCTGGAAAGCTTTTCCTTCACCTCAACTTGAAAATTCGGTTTAATCTATGAGAACAGACAGAAATTTCACACCACTTCCCCAAAGTCTCTAGCAGGTGTCTTTCTGTGTTCCTACAAGACACAGTTAGACCTCTCAGCCTTGCCTTTCCTTTACTGTCTTCTTCGGTTTGCTCTGTCTGCTCATGGTCCGCTAGTTCTCTTGCTGCCTTGAATGCCACTGTCCACAGCTGTGGAGCAGCCCCTGGGCCAGATTTCTAGGTCTTGCCTCTGGTCCTCTATTCAGTAGAAATATGAAATTGATTGCACTTCAGTTTTGGAAAAAGCCCTGATATCCTTCCTTCTGAAGCTGATTGCTTCACAAATGGTCTTTAGTAAAGGAAGGCTTTCTCTAGAGAAGGCTTCCCCAGTGTGGTGGCCGGAAGCCTTCTCCACACATGTGCTGCCCTGTAAAACCTCCTGGGAAGGGCTGGGAGAAATTGGAAGATTTCACTACATTTTTGCTCATAAACACACACACACACACACACACACACACACACACACCATGCCACAGGCCATGTCATCCTGTACCCTGCACACACGTCACAGGTCAGACACTTGGCATTTGCATATAATGTGAGTTACACTTGCATTCACATGAAGAGCCATGTGATATTTTCGAGACAGCCTCCCAATAACAAGAAATATGTAGGGTACTTTAATCAAAGAGCTATGTAAACAGAAATATGAAGCAGAGTAAAACCAGCAAATCTACTCTTTGGAGTTTACTCCAAATTGTTACCCCCATTTTTATTCTTCTATTCATATTGTTCAGTTAAAAGTCTTCCTAAAACCTAAGCTCCCAGTAAACAAATCTGATATACAGGGCCCTACCCAAAATACCACGCCTACATTTAGACTTTTCTGAGTGTCTCAGTCTACTAGGAATTGAACTCTTACAGTGTGAATTAAATATCCATTTAAGTGACTCATGAAGCGTTCCTGTCACAGCAACCTGACCGTAAGTCCTTTGGGCCAGGGCCTGTCTCGTAGGTATGCACGCACACAGGACTTACTGAGGACATCTGCCAGGATGAGCTGTCCATGGCGAGGAGCAGGCAGCCTCTCCATCGAGTGCTACGTGGAATTTGCTGGCCCTCAGCCAGGGGAACTTCCTTCTTCAGACACTCTCTTGGAGAGTAGGTTATTAAAGCCATAAACCCAAGGCCATAAAGAACTTTCCTGAGTCTCCATAAATCTGCAGGTCAGCTGAGGCCTGTCAGCTTTGAGAAGAGGCCTGTGCTCCGGAAACCATGCAGCAAGGACTGAGGGCAGCCCCTCCCCAGAGCCTGGTCACGGTCTCGCATCAGGCTCGTCAGTCCTGGCCCACAGCATGGAACTGGCCAATTGGACACCACAGCCTTGGTGGCTTCCGCCTTCAGCACAGGAAGCTCCTTTGTTTCACTCTCTGGACCTGAACTTCTACCACCCAGAAGTCATTTTTTCTTGCAGATTTCATCTTCAACCTCAGTGTAAGAATAAGAAAACTGGCAGTTTCCTCCGAACAAGATTGAGGTAAATCCACTTTTTTGCTGGTCTTCAGTTTCCCTGCCCCTGCGGTAATGGGCATGGGGGGTGACAGCTAAGGAAAGGTGCCGGCCTCCCCGCCTGAGGACTGTGGACACGTTCACCGCGTCTGGACGTGAGACCGCGCTGGCTGAAGCCCAGAGGATCTGAGTGGCTCCGCAAGGGTGCACAGACCCTGAGTGGGGCACGCGGGCAGGACACCCTGGCGACTCCCAGCCAGGTCACTCAGCTCCCAGGCCAAACCCTGGCCTGAGCTCTGTAGACTCAGTCATTCAATGATCCAACTCCAAAATCAGGGGAAAACCCCCAAGTTTTCCAAATTTAATGTATTTTGAAGTATCACAGGCCATCCATCCATTAATTTATTGATTTAATAAATATTTACTGATGCTCTGTGCCTGGGAGCTGGAGACCCAGTGGTCAGGGATGCCCTTCGACACCCAGATCTGTAGGCAAATAATGTTCTGTACGGGGGCTGGAGGGACCAGAAGTCCTCACGTCGGCAGCATCTGGCAGGCTAATCTCACGTCGTTCCCCGAGAGACATGCCGCATGCCGGTAGGAGCCATCCGTCCTCTCTGCAGACCTCCACTAGTCCTAGAAGCAGGGCCTACCCAGGTAGTCCCTGGATAATTCACACTCGAGTGGACCCACTGGCTCTGCATGATCTCTGGAGGTCATGCTGGAGGGAAGTTTAGGAGATCCCAGGCGTCTGCCACTGAGAAGCATGAGGCAGCCTGAGGTGGAGGAGGCAGCCAGGCTCCTCCCCTGGGCCTGAGCGGAGCTGCGAGCCCTGCCCTCCAGGAGTCCTGCGGGGCTCCCTGTCCTGCTCACTTTGCCTGCCAAGCGCAATGTGCTAGAGCACTGTAGATACTGTAAGACTTTACCTGATAAAAACATAATAAAATGGGGTTAGTATTTCATCAGGCTAAGGAGAAATAAATACATATGCACTTATGGAATCATGAAGTTGGGTATTTGTGATCCTGGGAAGGCATGTAAGAATGTTTCGGAAGAGTCATTCAGAAAGGGGTCACACTGGAAATAAGCAATTTGAATGTAGGCAAAAAGCATTTATATTCCATGTCTACACACCCCCTCCAGCTGAGTGATGCTGGAAAAGTAGCTCCTGTAAGCCTCAGTTTTTCCGTCTGTAAAGTGGGGATCGTGATATTAATTTCACTAGCTTGTCTGGGGGCTTAAATGGCAGCTTTATCATAAAGCTGTGCTTGTGGATTACCAGATTTATTTGAACTTAGAGTAAGAGCAATGTCAGACAACATATGAAAAGCTACATATTTTTACAACTGAGGCTGACCTCAGTCTGGTATGAGATCTTTTCCTAAGAAATTTTCACGTCACGGATGGAACCCGAAATGACAGGCCCCAGGCTCTGCACTGGAGTCGGGACACATGGGCTTCCAGGCGAGACCTGCACGGCCCTGCCTCCAGGCTTCTCAGCAGCTCGGTCGGTCCCGGCTGCTGGTACGAAGCACCCAGGACCCACGGCCCCAACACCAGGCATGCATTTCTGACCATTTTGGAGGCAAGGAGGCGAGATCACTGGTTCTGTAGGCACAGTGAGGGCCCCCCGGCCTGGGGGTGGCTGGCTTCTTTTTCACTGTGTGCTCACACGGTGGGGTGGGGAAAGTCAGGGCTCCCGTCTCTTCTTCTTCTGACAAAGACACTAATCCCATCATGGGCTCCACCCCTGTGACCTCATCTCAACCCGATTACCCCAGTCCCTGCCATGTCACCACCGAGGAGATTAAGGCTCAAGCTTTCAGGCACTGGCATTCGGTTTCTAAGTCCAGTTTCTGAAGGGTCAAAGGCTCCCAGGAACCTGACTGTCAGGGATGGGGGGATCCATCAGCTTTCTGTCACAGGTATCAGCCACCTCTGCTCAGCACCTGGTGGGGCCTGTGGAATAGGGGTCCCTTCCCCAGGAGCAACGGGGTGGCTGTGAATGTGGCAGGGGGTGCAGAAAAATCGCTTGAATAACAAAACCAGTTCACTTAAATACCAAAGCAAAATTTCATTTCCAAGGCCCTGCTGCTCTAGAGACTCAAGGCTCAACTCATATAACCTCTTCCTTGAGGAAGGAGCAGAGGCATAAGAAGATGCAGTACCTGAAGCCAAGCACGGCTCCTACCCAAGCCCTCTCCAGGGCTTCTCCTAACTCCCAGCCCATCAGCTATGGACACTAATGACTTTTGTCAGGAAGCCTGTGGCCCATTTCAGAGGTCAAATAAAGAGCTGTGGTAGCTCCGACGGGTAGAGTGCAGTTAGGTAGTCTGCAATCAGAGCAATGGAGAAGGCATTTGGCTTGATGCTAGGCTTCAATAGGGAGAGCTAGGGAAACGAACAGAAGAACCGCATAGGGTCCTGAAGACGGGAAAGGACAGAGTTTGGGGCCATGGAAGCAGCTGACTTGCTCAAGCAAAGAGTTGCTCAGGGAAGAGTTGAGGGGACTCAGGGGCCTCTGTGGATCGCATTCCCACCCCAGAGCTTTCCTGGGCCCTGCTTTCCCCGGTGACTGCCTCGCAGCTGGTGACTCAGGAGGAGGCCATCTGCCTAGCAAGCCTCCATCCTGCCGCTGGAATCCTGAGGACACCATCAGGAAACACAGAGAAGCAGCTGCAGCCTTGCACAGCAGGGCCTCTGTTCGGAGCAGACACGTCCCTTATAGTAAGTCTGCACACAGCAGCAGGCAGAGGGAGGGAAGTGTCATGCTCCTGCCTCCAATTCTGTCAGCCAAGATAGAAATAAATTTGAGCTGTTAGTTACGGAGGCTTCTCAAAGCCAGGCTGGCATCAGTGTTCTGGGGTTGAGTTACTTCCCTCTCATTCTTTTTTTTTTTTTTTTTTTTTTTTTGAGATCTTCCATTGTCCAGGATTGTAAATATTTTGGAAGAAAACACCTCTTGTGCAGGAAAAATATCATTTTTATTGAATGACTCTGGCACTTATTCACATTTAATGTTCATAAACCTGAGGCAGGTATTGCTGTTACTAGCTCTGTTTTTACCAGAAACAGGCCAGAGGTTGAGTGGTTTGTGTCCCATCACACAGCTGGCTGCGAGTCCTCTGCGCGCCCAGAGAGCTCAGCACGTCTGCAGCTTCTGCTTCCGGGCGGGGGCTTCCTCTCTCCAAGGTGCAGTGACAGAAGGAGGAGGAAGGTGGATCTGTAGATGCAGCCTCGTGCTGGACCAGACCTGATCGGTACCCAGCCTCCTGGGGACCTGTCAGGGAGGGATATCAGCAGGCCAGAGGGCACACTGGCTGCACTCGTGGGCCTCTCAGCTCCGATTCCCTTCTCCCTGCCTGTAACTCAGTAGATGTTTCTGTGCGTGTGTTCATCTGCATGCCTGAATGCTGATGCTGGCAGAGTCGGCGGCCGTCAGCAGATTTCTTTTGGGCAGTAGAACCCACCAGGCTCGAGTTGAGACACCAAAGAGGCACTGAATTTGATAGAGAAATGATGAAGACAAGTACGAAAAAAGCATTCCTGTTCCTAGAACTGCGGAGCAGCACGGGGCCCATTGTGTTTGGGGCTCACACTTCCAGCGTCACGGGGTCAAGGTGTGAAGGCAGGGCCACGAGAGCAGAGGGGCACCAAGGAGTGACCTTTCAGGGAGAGCGTGGCTCTGAGGCATTTCCTGGATGGCCCAGGCCTTGTCCCCTGCACCTGCCCCATCTTAGCTCAGGGCAATCCGCCTGGTGCTTGTCTGCATGGCCACCGAGTGTCTTCACCACACCAAGGGGAAGTCCTCTGTTCACTTCCGGGCGGCCCCACTGTGAGAAGGCTTCGACCTTCCGACCTTCTGACCTTCCGTGCTGGGCGGTCTCAGGTCAAGCACATTGCCGGCTATGCAACCGTGTGTGTTGAATATACAAGGGAGTGAGTGAGCAACTGACTCAGCTAGTGGATGTTTTGTTATGACAACTCAGGGATCCATAGCACAATGGATGCTCTAGCTAATTAATAGAATGCTGGGTGTGGGCAGCTGCAAGGAGCAAAGCACTCTGGGTGCTAAGTGGGCCGAATTCAAGCCAAGTCCCCTGACCTCTGGGGACTGGGAACTCAGCAGGAATCGGCGAATACCCAGCTCCCTCGGGAATTTGAGGCTCGGCTCGGGCCAGGGTGGCATCAGGGGCCTCGGGACTGAGGGGTGACAAGGAAAAGCCCCCTGCACTGACGGGGTGTTTCTGTCCTCCCTCCCACCGCTTGCCCAGGGGCTCCCTCCCCAGCTGCGCCCGGCCCCTTCCAGTGCCCGTGAGGGCCTCATGGGTCTCTGCTCGCTCCCTCTCCTCCACACACACTGCCCCTTCCCAGCCTTAGTCGGCCCGGCCCGTGTGGGCCTTATTTATTTTCCCATCTTCCCTGTGGACGCAGCCCCCCGAGTGAACCAGGCTGGCGGGCCTGTGGCCCAGGGAGTGTTTTCTCCCTTCCCACCGCATCCCCAGCCACCTGCTCTTTGGCCTTTTTCTCCACCTCTCTCGCCACAGACCTCACACCACATGTCTCTCCTTCCCCAGAAGCGCCCTGAGGGTCCTGAGTCCCCAGATGATTGATGACCCGGGTGCCCTGGCCTCCGCGCCTCGCCTCCTATGACTCCAGGGATCGGAACAGCTCCGGGCCTTCTCATGTGTGAGATCGTCAGAGCTGGCTGCAGAGGCGCTGGCGGGGGAGCAAACTGCAGAAGTAGGCCGGAAGCTCTTGGATACAGCGCATCCCAGAAAGAAGGCCACGGAGGAGTCGGCATCACCTACAGGTGCTGCTGACACAGGCAGGTGCGAGGTGCACTGCCCAAGCCACTTCTGTCTCTTCTCCTTCCGTTCCTCCACGTTCCGAAGTCCTTTGCGCTTTTCCTCCGAGCCTGCGCATCACAGACTGAACAGGATGGGAGACAGGAGGAGAAACGCTCTTGGGTAGAAAAGCTCCTGGCTCAGAGACCCTAGGATTCCAGCAGGGTGCCCTTATGCAGGGCCTCATGTTGTGCTGTTTGGCATGTTTCCAAGTCCTCAAGTATTTTCTTCAAATAATTCATGAAAAGAATTTACTCTTCAAATTGTAATGGCCAGATATTGAATCCTGTATGTGTTTGAAAGGAAATGTTTTCAATCAGTGCTTTGAGAGGATAATAGTCTATGGACTCCCTTTCCTCCACTTGCCTTTCGCAAAACCATCTTCAATTTCCTGAGAAAAGCTGGGAAAGTGATATCAGCATCTTCACTTCACTTCCCCTTGGCTCCCAAAGCTTGTTTCTAGAGATGCCTGTGATTTCCTCTGACAACCGACTATCTTTCTGTTTCCCTAATCCTGACATCGCCCAGTGTTGCCTCAGCTCTCTGTGTGCACCACTGTGGTTTGGGGTTTGTCTGTAGCTCTGTCTTAACCCTCCTCTGGGCAGCAATGTGAGGGGCTGTGATGTGGATGAGGATGCTGCGGAAGGAAGAAAGACAGGCAGCCACGGGGACAGACTGACAGAGACAGGATTTGAGTTCTGATCTTTTTAAACTCTATCTTTAAGAGTAAATGTGGCCCTGCCTAGTCACTGGACATTCTCATTCCTTACTGTATAAATTACAGGATGCAAAAGTAAACCTGTGAGTTGCTATTTTTTGGATGCCCATACAGCATCCAGATTCTCTTCATGGCATTCTTTCTCCTCCATTTATCTTTTCAGAAAGTGCACGTTTCTTGCGTTCCTGGTCAGAGGAATCATGTCCTCTGAAGGCCATGCAATTTCTAGGCACCAGATTTTCTTTGCAGTAGCCACATGCAGGTGGGAGATTGGAAATGAACCTTTGAAAATTCCACTGATTTGGGGTTGTTGACAGAGCTATTGTAAGGAAGAAAGAGAAATCAAGCTTGGACAGACTCACACTCACAGTAATGGATGATCTGGAGAGGAAGCAGCAGAGAACAGAGGAGAGTCCGAGTTTTGAGCAAGGCATTAAACTCTTTCCCAGGACACGGCTGCCCTCCGCTTCACAATCCCCTTGAACATGTCTTTGGGGCTAAGCACAGCCCAGTCTGGGCGCACCCTGTATTCTTTTCATAAATCTTGCTGCGTGCAGCGATAGCGGCATTCATGGAAGTCACACGCCTGGATGGTGCCCCATCACTGGTCACAGCAAAAACCTCCCTCAAATTTGGCTTCTGTGATTTTTGAGGCTCTGGACTCCCTGAGAAGGATAGCTAATTAATTGGTAGTGATAGTGGAGGACATGCACCTGCCTTTGCTGGTACAATCCTGCTCTTATTAAAGTCTGGAGGTAGAACTTCAGAGCACTACTCCGCCTTCCTTGCGCCTACCCACTGGTCTGGAATCCTCTGGTGTTCATGTCAGGCCTGCAGTCCATAGCAAAGGGTGGCGTCCCTCCAGCAGGTCATCACCTAGGGTGTGGCCTCGGATGGGGCAGGAACCATGACAGGTTACTGGGCACCTTTATATTCGAGGCTCAAGCAGACTTTTCACACTATTTTGGGGCTTTCGGTAACATGGAGACATACAGTTGGTTTATCTTCTCTAAATGTGAATATTATACACACATAGACTATCATAAATACTAGACATGTTTCAGTCACTAGCATAGGATTCTACAGGAAACAGAGAGCCAGAAAAGCATATTACTTTTGATGATGATGATGTAGCTGGTAATGATCATGATGAGGAAAAATGATGCACTATATTGAAGTGGTTTGCAAATGGGATCCACCTATCTATCATCTGTCTATCTGTCTGTCTCTATCCTCTCTATCTATCTATCTGAGAGTGATGAAGCTTATTGTTGCTGTATCTGAATCTCATCTCTAAGCTGTGGGGCAATAAATATTTCAGTGCCAGACCATGACCATATGGAGAGGGGCGTCTGTTTTATTTATCTCTATATTCTCTGTCTTTCTCATAGGACCTAGCCAAGAATATGTGTTGAATGTTATTGTTGTGAACTTCGTACATCGAAAGATCTACTAGGCATCCATTGTGAAGCAGAAAGGCTGCACCTTCTACAGAGACTAAGCTTTTCACTGCACCAAGATGCTACACATTAACGGTGAATATGATGTGAATCGGCCCTCCAGATGGCTGCCTGGCTGTACCGAAGTGTCCTTAAGAAGCAGTCAAGGAAAGAATCAGGTACCTGCCTACTTGTAACCCACTGCTGTGAGAAGAAAGACAAATAAATAATAAAGTCTAGACAGTGAGCAGTTCCCCAAAAAGAGAGTAGGGTCATGGTGGAAGGAGTAGTGGAAATTGAGAGGGGCCGCTCAGCTTCTGGGGTCTGAAGAAGCTTCTCTCGGGCATGTGAGCGTGGGGCTGAGGTGACGGGACCGCACAGAGGCACACTCGCTGGCCTCTCCCGTGCTTCCCACAGCCCTGTCAGGCAGACAGACATTCGCCACACTTTAGATGGAAGGAGGTCACAGTGATCCGGAGGGGACATTTCCCAAAGCCACGCGACTAGCAAGTGGCCCAGATCTGCTTCGCCCCAGAACTTTGTGTATGAACACAGTCCTGTGGAAGGCGGAGGTGAAAAAGAGCACTCGTGGCTCTGCAGTCAGACCCAAGGTTCCTTACACATTTGCATGAGACATCGCAGATGAAAACCTTAACACGGATGCATGTCATAATTGTATTAAGTGACTTAGATTTCCTATTATTTTGAAGCCCGAACAAGGTGAATTTTAAAAGGATAAGACACAGGCATGCTTGGGGAAGAATCAGAGAGCCAGGCCCAGAATGAGCCAGCACCGCCAGGTCTCCTGGAACCTCAGGCAAATCACTTTCCTGGCTGAATTTTTTCTGTGCTTAATGCTGGGTGTGTTGATTTCGCATAGTATTTCATGACGGCTGTAAGGCTAATTTCATAAGAGACAAGATAGTATTTTGAAAACTATAAACATAAGTAGTTTTAACTATACCAATTATGTTGAAAATCATTAAAAATACAGAAAAAATCAAACTTCATATTCTTTTTCTCACAGAAGTCAAGACCTTTTTAGGGTGGAAGCTAAAAAAGTTGGAGCGATGTCAACATAGTTGATTCTGCCTTCCACCACTGTGAAAATGACTTTTCCATTAAATTATCATCCACACCAAGGGAACTCTGTTGCCTTGCTTATCCCAGAAATGGACCTTAAAGTAGTTATTTGGCTATAAGTTGCTGAATCATTTCCATAACTTTCCCATAATTTATGGACCTCGTGTAGATCTGCTGTAAGTCCTACCTTGGAGATAAATAACGTATCTCACAAGATCTATGTCCTAGAAGACGGCCCTGGGTTGTATGTTGCTGAGATCCCAGGGTTAGCTTTTCTCATGACCCTCCCCAGAACTTCCTCCCATTTTTCATGCTCCTTAGTAAATAAATGCTTTATTATTAATGATACAAATTACAGTAATCGTGTTCTTAATGTTCATAGACCTTTTGCAGCCTATGAACTGCCTTCACATGCACTTTCTTCATTAATCTTCATCACAAATCATGGATGTAGCTTTCAATCTTCATTTAAGGGATAATGAAAGAGTGACTGAGGGAAGAAAAACGAGGTGGCTAAGGCGGCATGGCTCAGACAGGTGGTGCCAGGACTCAGACCCTTCTTCTGCCCGCACACACTGGTGTTGAAGGGACTGGGCCTCTGGTGGGTTTGAGACAGACAGCAGTGCATCAGTATCTCCAAGTATTTTAACTAGTGCTTGCAGGAAGGGAAAGAAATCACTTGGTCACCCAAAAGGCCTGCCGACTGCCACTCCAAGGAGCGAGTCTGTTCCAGATCACAGGCAGGATGGTGGCTCCGTTTGGCCAGGAAATGTCAGTGTAAGCAGTGAACCGTGTGGCACAGGGGGAGCTGGGACCAACTCCCCACCTGTGAGGAGATGTAACCGTACGGGGTGTGCACACCCCACATGGATAGCAAACACTCCTGCGGCCACCAGTGTTGGATTCAATTAAACATTGAATTCGTCATCTTTAGCAAGGGAAGAGAGCAGCAAATGGTCGCTCTCTCATGGCTAAGCACCCCTCAGATTTGCTGGCCTTTGATTTATTGGAAGAAACCTGCTGGGAAGAACATACTGTGTAGCTGATTAATGTCAGCTTCTGTCATCAGTTTCCACTTAGAGCCTTGGCTAGCCTGACATCTCCTCCCAGAAGGATCCACAAGAATCTGAAGGCTGATCCAAGAGCTTTACTGGCATGGGATTTGCAGAATGCAGTGTTTGCAAAATCAGGAAGATGAATGGGAGTGGAATCCCATGTTCTCCACTAAACTTGTTTCTTTAATTCATTCCTCCAGAGGCGTAGCTCCATGCCAGGACCACACCAGCAAGGCAACTGGGGAAAGTGCATTCCCAGGCCCGCTACAGATGTCTTGCATTTCCTGTGCTCCTCACATCTTCTGTGCTGCCTCCTTGGAGGTCATCAGAGCGGAAAGGGGTCTGTAGAGGAGGGCCATGCTCGGTTGCCATCAGCCCTCCCTGGGGCCCCCGGGGAGATCCTGCAGAAGGGGAGCCACCAGGAGGACCAGGCCTGATCTACTGCTGGCCAGGCCTGGTGCTCGCTGCCCCTGGGTCCTCCATGTGTACTTTGCACTCACAAGGTCACGGGTGGAGCCTTCCCCAGAGGTGACCCGTAATCCACATGCCTTAGGCCTAAAGCAAGGGGAACCTTGTGTGTGCGTTTTCTCGCATCTCAGGGTGGAGGAAGAGCCCACTGAAAGGTGTCTTCTAAGATAAAGCTGCCTTTTACCCCTCTGTGGTAAAAAAAAGACCTAGAAAGAGGCCATTATTTTAACCAGACCCAGAAACTTTTCCAGCTCAATTTACTTCTAGGTGCAGAAAAACTAAGAAAGTTCAGTTAAGAAATGCAAATTAGTTCTGGTTACCTATGGATGCTTAGCCAATCATTACAAAACCTAACATCGTGATGTTTCAACACCTGCTTTGCTGTAACTCATAATCTCTGAAAATTAGGGATTTAGGAGAGGGGCTGGACAGTTCCACTGAGGAGTCTCCTGTTCAGGTGCAGAATGGAGCTGGAAAAGCAAGGACTGACGCGGGGCGGGGCGGTATTTCTCTCTGAATCTCTGTACTTCTCTGCTTATAGCTCTGGGGCCTTTCAGGGTGGGTTCAGAGAGTTAGAGCAGGAAGGATGCAAGTTGGAGCCTAGCCTAGGCGAATTAGTAACTTAGTGAAAGATTGGATCAGGATGGAAAGGAGAGAGAGAAAGAGAGAGACGGGGGAGAGAGCTGGGAATGTACCTCACTGTGATGACTCTGGGCTCAATTCTCAGTATCACCAAAAAAAAAGAAAAGCACAACAGTGTCCTCTCCTGCTGGGCTGATGTGGACCTCCTCAGAGCAAGGCTGCCACCAGAAAAAATCAAACAATAACTAAAAGCTTCAAGAGTGAGTATTCTTGTAAGTCCAAATGTTGTGCAGTTTTTAATATACTTGAATGTAAAGATTCAATAAATGCTTAGAGCGTAAAGATAATTTTTCAAGACTTAGATTGACTGGTTTATTGATTGACTCATTGATGCATTGATTGATTTTTTGGTTTTTCTGAGACAGGGTCTCACTATGTAGTTCAGGCTGGTCTCAGATTCACAGTGATCCTCCTACTCCAGTGTCTCTGGTGCTGGGATTACAGGTGTGGCCAATAGGCCCGGCTAACCCCCTTATTTTTTACCAATCAATCCTAAAGATCACACAGAAGGTTGGATCCAAATGACTTCTAAATTCCCTTTCATATCTATTAGTGGAGAATTTCATCAGGTATTATTGCTAGGTATTTATTTCATCCTTAAATACAAAACAATAATAATCACTGCTGGTGCTCACTGAAATGGCAGGCTCTGCTGTATAATTTTGCATGGAATGAATAATTTAACTATTACAAACATGCTAAAAAATACTATGGTTGTTTTCCTTTCACATATGAGAAAATGGAGAAACAGAAAGATAGATTGGCTTGCCAGGAATTGCAGAGCTGGTAAAAGTCAGAGCCCCAACTTGGCCTGCGCTATCTAACTGGAGGGGCACATTTGGAGCGCTGCATTAGCCTCCCTTCCTCAAAGGAGCCACCATCCAGTGGCTTCACACTTAAGTCAAAGAGAGAATTTTCTGCATATTCAAACAATTATTGAAATGGGTAAGAAAGTCCACTGGCACACATGTGGATATAGAAATGTAGAGCATACGGTACCATCAACAACAGCGTGCTCTCCAAATCGAGAGACACAAGTGCACGGTTCGGGGACGTGTCCCCTGCGTGTTCCTTCAGACCCCCACAATGAGGTCACATCTCCATCTCTTGTGCCTGAAATCATGCTGCTCACGATCTTCCCCCAGACAGAGAACCCTTCCTGGCCTTTCCTACCACCGTGCGAGGGTCACGAAGTCCTTGCTGACCCTCCCCAGCCACAGTGCTTTGTCGAGCTGCTCTCTGCACCTATTGTATGTGTCCACAGCGTGGTGTAGCTGAGAGGAAGTGGGATTGAATCAGAATGGACAGATTTAAAGTCAAAACTAAACTGCTGCTGAACTGTTGGATTTTAGAGAAGATGGCAGACTTCATGTATTTCAGAGTATAATAACAATTCAAATTTGACATTGCAGGCATGTAGATATGGAAACTGCTTTGAGACGCAACGTGATCACGCATGCCTGTGTGAGAGACAGTCACAGTGCAATGGTCAGAGAACTGAAGTTTATCCACAGATGCCTGACCTTGAACAAGCCTTCCCCTCTCGTCCTCAGCTTCTGAGCCCAGACCCAGGGTTGGTTCTGCAGCTTCCAGGAGAGCCATCATGGCTCTGAGATTGTGTGCAGGCTGGAGCAGTTTTCCAGGCTGAGCACTCATTTTTCATTGGCCTCTCAGAGTTCTGAACCCATGGAAAGTTAAAGAACAGAGCCAGCTGCCCATGCAGCTTAATTTTCCCCCAGGCTGACAGTTTATATCTCTAAGAACTTTAGTCCAACATGTTCTTGTAAAAGGCACAGAAACTCATTTTGCAAGACTAGAAAGGAATCATCACAGATGAGGAAACCATTCTGGAAGTGGGGCAGGGCGGGTCCCTGATGTTAAAACCTGGCAAGGGTTCTGCAGCCTGGCAGGGACCTGGAACATGGACCACGGCAGAGCCACAGCCACTGCCCACTGACATTAGGATCAAGGTAAGGTGGTCAGCAGCAACTCCCGACAAAGCCGTGCCTGCAGGCAGAAGGTGTTCAGTAAGCAACCAGCCAGATCTTGACCTGCATGACATTTTTGATTGTGCTAGGGACACACAAGGCTATGTGAATGGGGTGGAGTCACTCAGCAGACTTAGGGAAGCGAAAGTCAGAGGTGGCCCCGTGCTCCCTGGTTGACCAGTGGAGAGCCGCAGGGCTGAGCAAAGGCCCTCAGTGCCCGCTGCATTTTGTCACAATGTGCAGGAACTGTCCCTGGGGCAGCCCGTCTATGCCATTTGCAGACTCGCTCTAATTTAATTCTTACCGCACCCTAGCAGAGTGGGTTTGGAGTGCATGCCTGAAGTTGGGGACCAGGACAAGAGGCCCTGCCCTCGGCCAGGCAGAGGTGGCAGCGTGGGAGCCACCTCACTTCTCTCCCTTGCCCAGCACCCTGTGCAGTGATTCCATGTTGGAGGGGCATTCGGGTCCCGTGTCTTGCAGCACTGGCAACACCGGGCTCCGTGTGGCTCTGGAACACTCACCTCAGCTGGGAGGAGGGAGCCCCTGAGGTCTGGGTTTGCCCCGGGCTGATTTCCATGGGGAGATGAGGAAGGCAGACTAAGAGCCTCAGATCCAAAGCAGAGGTGGGGCATCGGGCAGTCTTCTCCCTGCTTCTTGGCCCCAGGTACAAACAGACACCAGCTCGTACTTTGTTTCGAAAATGTGGGCCCCAGGACCTCTGGCAGGCCTTTCTCAGAGCAGCCCCATCTTGAGGCCACAGGGGCATATTCTCCTCCCATGTCCACCTCTGCTACGGTCAAGGCCTGCGGGAAGGCGAGAGGGCAGATTCTGCCTTTGCTGAGCATCTAGCTAAAGAGAGCGGGCTAACACGTAACGAACAAGTCCGGGTGAGCTGAAGGCAGGTCCAGAGCCCTTCAACCGGAAGCCAACACGTTCTGCACCCCATCTGCATCTAGGGTTTCACCCGATTCTCACCCTTTCCTGCACACAGCAGGCTGCACCTGCTGGCTGTCCCCTGAGGGAACCCTGCCTTGGCTCTTTACCATTCTCTCCCAGCCTCCCCACCAAGTGGAATTTGTAAAGTGTTGCTCAAGACCTGCTCACTTCTTCCTGTGCCCAAGGCCGCCAGAGTGAGGCAGGCAGCTTTGCTGCGATGCACAGAGACAGGCCGCCGACCTAAGAGTGGGAGGGCCGGGCCAGCGGGGGCCACTGCAGCCTCCTGCTCACCCGGGCTCCCTGGCTGGGAAGAGCCTTCCTTCCAGTGCAGGCTTTCCCGTCGCCTCTCGCTCTGACCATCGCAGCGTGCCCTTAATTGAAGTAAACGGTGGCAATCCGTTGCTGTTGCTCTTCAGAGGTCTTGCTCACTGGCACTGGAAGAATGTTGCTTCCAGGTTGGGTCAGGCGCTCTTAGAAGGCGTGTGGGATGCTTTGCCCGGGCTTCAAGCCTTTGGGCAGCAATGAGGATCCACCCAGCCAGAGCAGCAATGCAGCACACGGCTGCCCCGGAGGCTACCGTGAAGCAGCGGACAGCGGGAGTCAGGCTTCACAGGGTGCAGGGGACGGAGGCCACGGACCTGTACCAACCACACACATTAACCCTTTGTCTCCTGTGTGTGTGTGAGCAGCATGCCTCGGTTTCCCTGAATCTCTAATCCTGGTGTAGGATTGTTAGACGTGATCAAATCCTGAAACATCCTTTTGACCCGAAGTGGAGACCATTAGAACTAATTAGTTCTTTTGCCATCATCCCCTCAATGGGCAGTTTTTTCATTAAAACCAAGGAATGGACAGTTTTAAAAAGATTTTTTCCCCAAAGATGGTAATCTGCAGTTTAATATTGCAGCGTCCTTCCGTGCAAGGGAAAGCGGGCTGTGCTCAGAGCATAAGGGTCTGCTCCAGTCACTTCCCAGCTATTTGTCCATGCAAGGAGCTCAGCCTCTGTGAGCCTTAGTTTCCCCATCTGTTAAAGGGGCCAGAAGATTTTCCTTCCTCTTTCCCTACAGGGTATCGGAGAGACAGAAAGAGCAACCATATCAATATAAATGCTCTGAAATTTAAAATTAACTGACACAATATAGTTGTTTTTAGGAACACAATGCTTATACATGTTAAATAACTTCAGGAGCTGAAATGTGTTCAAGGATACACCAAATTTGGATTTCAAAGTCTCCCAGCATTTAGTAAATTTCCCAGAGCACTTATCTCCTTAAGAACCCACAAAATATTCTGTGCTTTTCCCAAAGGTGGAAAATGTATACTCCCCAGGTGTAAAACCATAGACGATGAGATAGGAAAGCAGACAAGGCCCATCATGGCGGTGTTTAGCTGCCCCCAGCCTCGTGAGGTCACAGGTGGGGCTTTTCTGGGATTGATTCACGTGCAGGGCTAGGCCCAAGGGCACCAGGACTGAGGAGCGCGTGCTGCCCACCCCAAGTAGCCTGCATGAGGTAAAAGGGGCAGAGGGACGGCCTGCCTCGCTCTCTTGCTGCTTTGCTTCCCTTGGCCTGCCAGGAATCGCTTCTCCTCGGCAGTGCCGCCCCGCCTCGGAACTAGCCGTGTAAGGGCTGAACCTCTACAAACTGTGAGCTAAAGAAACCTGTCCTCCTTTAACTTTGGATGGCAGGTGTTTCGTCTCAGCAAGGAGAGAAGAATTAAGACGAGTTCGTTCTATTTACGCAGCACTAGTGTAGAACAGGGCTACGGAATAAAAGACGAAATGAAGTGCTCTTCCCTACTGAGGTTAAATTCACTTTACCAATACAATTTCCATTTTTCTAAGGTTTGTCCTTCTGGTTCTCACTGGCGAAAGAAGGTGGAGAGTGTGGACAGGGGTATGCCCAGTCCTGGGCTGGGCTGGTCCGTGAGCTGCCCGAGAGCCACACGGCCTGTAGACGGCTACTCAGCCAAATGGGTCCTGACCACATGTGAAAGAAAAGCAGAGCAGGGAGGGAGTGAGGCAGGAGTGAAGAAGTCCTCGGGATGGCTGCCGTATTGGCGTCTGGCGAACCCTGCAAAGTGTCCTCCACGCATTCCAGGGCCTGAGGAGGGCCCATGTCTCTCTTCAGTAGGCTTGAGAGAGATCAGGAGGTATAACCTTCCCTGCAGGTGAGATGTGATGTATTCGTATTACATTTCAAGCTGTTCCACAGAGCGCTTCTAGGCTTGAGGGCCACTCTCTGCTGTGCCTCAGCCGTGTTTCTCAGGGACCAGGGAAGCTCTCAGTGCAGAGGAGTAAGCCGGGGTGGGGGGCGCTGCACCCTCCACACCCACACGTGCTGCCCGCCGAACTCCCAGAGCACCTGTCAGGTTACAGTGCTGGGGTTAGCTCACCTGCGGGCTGCCTGCCTGGGACCAGAACCCTGCAGGAGTAGGTAAGGAGCCTTCACCTGGCCTCAAAGCTGACTGACCTCTGGAGGAACAACAGCACTACCCGTCTGCAGGTATTAGTACCTGTGTGCAGCACGCAGGGTTACAGTCACTGCAGGGAGCTGTCGCATGCACTTAACGCTGCTTCTGAAATCTCTCTGCCCTAACCTTCTCCCTCCCCATCCCTCCCCTCCGTCTCTCAGGCTCCTTCCCATTTGCAAAAGATCTGTCTTCCTGTTCTCTATTATCTTTCTTCTATTCTGCTCTTTAATCTATTTATACTTTGAGTTTCTCATGTAAGAGAAACCATGTGATAAGTAAGCTTGTGTGTCTGACTTATTTCACTTAACATCACGGTCTCGTGGTGCATTCATTTGCCACAAAAACTCAAATTTATCAATCTTTATGGTAAAGTAGCACTCCATTGTGTATAAATACCACATTTTCTTTATCCATTGATCTGTTCATAGGCATACAGGCCCCTTCCAAGGTTTAGCTACTATGAGTTGTGCTGCTATAAACATGAGTGTGCATGGATCACTGTAATAATTTCTTTAACACTTTTGGGAATATTCTTGGATGGTGGATGGCTGCATTGAATGGAACTTCTATTTTTACTTTTTTTGAGGAATCTCCATTCTGACATCCATAGTGGTTGTGCTAATTTACACTCCCACCAAATGTAGAAGGATTCTTTTTTCCCCACAACCTTGCCAGTATTTCTTATTATTTGATTTCTTGATGATGGCCATTCTTTTCTGAGGAAGAGGGAGTCTCATTGTTATTTTAATTTGCATTTCTCTAAAGTCCAGAGACGAGGAACATTTTTTCAAGTATTTATTAACCATTTGTACTTTGTCATCTGGAAAGTATGTATTCATTTCACTTGCCCACTTACTAATTGAATCTTTTATTTTAGGAGGACCTAACTTTGATTGAGTTGTTTATATATCCCAGATATTAGTTTCGGTCTGAGGAACAGCGAGCAAAATATTTTCCCCATTTTGCAGACTGTCTCTCCACTCTGTTAGCTGTTACCTTTGCTGTGCAGAAGCCTTTTAATTTAGTATACAGTAATCCCATTTGTTGATTCTTGATGTTATTTCTTGTGCAATTAGGTTCTGTTTAGAAAGTCCTTGCCTATGCCGCCTCTGTCTTCACGACTTTACCTATTTTATCTTCCAGCAGATTAAGTGTTTCTGTTTTAATATTTGGATCTTTAATCCATTCTAATTTTAGTTTAGTGCATGGTGAGATATGGGCGTAGATTCAATCTTCTATACGTGAAGAGCCAGTTTTCCCAGAACCATTTATTAAAGAGGCTGTCTTTGCTCCAGTGTGTTTTTACCCCTTTGTCATATTCAGATGGCTGAATATGTCTGGGGTTATTTCTGCGTCCTCTGTTCCATTCCTTTAATCCGCGTGTGTGTCTCTGTGCCAGTGTCATGCTATTTGGATCATTGTAGCTTTGTAATACAGTATGAAACCTGGGATTTGTCATGCCTCCTGCATCGCTCTTTTCACCAGGATTACTTTTGCTATTCTGAGTTTAACATCCATTCAGATAAAAACCCTGAAAAAAGCTAGGTATAGAAGAATCTTACATCAAACTGATGAGAGACTTTTGACAAACCTACTGCCAACAACATGTTAAATGGGGAAAAGTGAAAGCTTTCCCTCCAAAATTAGGAACAAGACAAGGATGTCTATTATCACCACTTCTGTTCAACACAGTATGAAAATATCAGCCAATGCAATCAGACAAGAAACTGAAATAAA